CGTGCTGTCGGCCCTTCGCACGCCGCATGGTCATCAGTTCCTTGTTATGGGAACCGAGCCCGAGAGTCAGGCACGATTCCTGGCTCTTGTGCCATCTCTCTTGTCGGTCATTCATGTGCCCAAAGCTTCGGCAGTTCCGCTGCCCGTTTCGACGCTAGCCGATGCCGACCTTCTGACTGTACTGGCTGCTCGTCTCGTCGCCATGGCTGTGGTCGACCCTCTCATTGATGGGGATACGGTTGTTGTGCACAACTCCACTGAGCTTCTGGCACGTACCATTGCTAGCCAAGCGGCAAGCAAGAATGTCCGCGCCTTCTTCGTAGCGGACTCGACGCAGGAGAACGTTCCTGTCTCTTGGACCAAGCTTGAGCCTTATCTGACCCAGTCCGAGGTGTCTGATATCCTACCTCTAGACACGGCTAGCTTTGTCGGCTTATCTAGCGAGCACTCCGAGATCGAGTCAAACATCATGTCCAGCCTTCCTTCACACTGCAGGAAGGAGTCCAGGGCAACCTTGTATTCGTCGGTTGGCTGGGAGAGCAGTCCTTCGTCTGCGCCATTCCTGGGCCAATTCCTACAGCGTGCTCTGGTCAGCGTGCAGACCGAGGCTGGAAAGATTTCACAAGCGGTGTCTCGGACTGTTTGTATTGATGATCTTCTGAACGAGCCAAGCCCTGAAGAGCCGACCACAATCATCGACTGGACTCTTTCCAAGACCTATCCTGTCCACGTCAGCCGGTTGGACTCGGTTTCGTTCTTCAAGGGCGACAAGACCTACTGGCTGTGTGGCTTGTCGGGCGCTCTTGGTGTCTCTCTGGCCGACTGGATGATTGAACGAGGCGCGAGATACCTTGTCTTGACCAGCCGTAACCCCAATATCTCCCCCGACTGGATCAAGGCTCATAAGCGCAATGGTGTCATTGTATCTATTGTACGCTGCGATGTGACAAACGAGCCTGCTCTGCGTGCTGCTCATCAGTCTATCTGCGAGACTATGCCGCAGATCATCGGTGTCCTGAACGGAGCCATGGTGCTGAGAGACGTCTCGATCCGCAACATGTCATTTGAACTAATGAGCGAGGTGTTCCGCCCAAAGGTATATGGAAGCATTCACCTGGACCGCATCTTCAAGAACGCCAATCTGGACTTCTTCATTTTATTCTCGTCTATCAACTGTGTCATTGGTAATCTGGGTCAAGCAAACTATGCGGCGGCGAATACTTTCATGTGCAGTCTGGCTGCTCAACGTCGCAAGCGCGGTCTCGCAGCTACTGCTTTGAATGTGGGTGCTATTATCGGTGCAGGTTACATGGAGCGCGAGTCCAGCAAGGCTCTTGACTTGACTGTGTCCAAGATGGCGCTGATGCACCTGTCAGAGCAAGATTATCACCAGCTTTTTGCGGAGGGTATCGATGCCGGTCGTCCGGATTCTGGCGACGAGGCCGAGCTCACCACCGGGCTTTTGGATATCCCTGCTGCCGACACGGAGAATGCGCCCAAGTGGCACTCCAACCCTGCATTCTTCGACTTTGTCGTTCACAGAGTTGAGAAGAACGGGACTGACGCAGGAAATGAGGTTGTTACCTCGGTCCAGGATCAGCTTGCTGGCTGCAAGTCAACCAGCGATGTGCTTGCTGTCGTCAAGGGTAAGTTTCCGCGTATCGCGATTCCATACATTCCATACTAACTAGAGCAGGGCGATTTGCCATGCAACTTCGCAATGTGTTGCAGATGAACACTGCCGACGAGGACTTGATGGCAATGAGGAGCCGTGACATTGGTCTCGACTCCTTGATTTCGGTCGATATCCGCTCGTGGTTCTTGAAGAACTTCGAAGTCAGCGTTCCGGTCCTGAAGATTATGGGCAATGATACTATGGCCGAGCTGGCCGACCTTGTGGCCGCGCAAGTCCCAGCTTCGCTGCTTCCTGGACTTGGAGGCGAAGAGTCTCCATCTGATCAGCCACCTGCCATGAACAATGCTTCCCAACCTGCTCCGGCTGCTGCACCGAATGATGAGACCAGCTCCTCGGCAGACTCCAACCAGGATGCCACTTCTACTGAATTCAGCAGTGGATACACTGGAACTAGCACCCCTGCCAGCTTGGAAGCCACCACAGTACCCCTATCGAAGGGACCGATTCGTATTGATTGGAAGGCCGAGATCGCATTGCCTCAGGCAGCGAATATTGACACCAGCGTGGCTCCTGCCGCCCGTCCTCGCACAATTGTGCTCACGGGTGTTAGTGGACTACTGGGCCGACACCTGCTCCTGCGCTTGCTGCAAGACCCATCCGTCAAGAAAATCGTCTGCCTCGCCACTCGCCGTCTTGACGAGCGCCTACAGTCAAAGGAGCTGGTTGAAGACAGCCGAATTCAGTACTTTCCAGGTGACCTCGAAGACCCCCGTCTCGGTCTCTCTGAACAGCAAGCGGCTCAGATCTTTAGCCGCGCGGATGCTGTGATCCACAACGGCGCCGACACCTCTCACCTCAAGTTCTACCCCGAGATCAAGGCCGCGAACATGGGCTCAACTAAGGAGCTAATCCGCCTCTGCACTGCTCGCAAGGTGCCCATTCATTACCTCTCTACCGTGGGTGTGGCCCTCTTTGGCAACTACACCTCCTTCCCCGAGGTCTCGGTTGCGGCGCACCCGCCCCCGGTTGACGGCTCTCACGGCTACGTAGCCGCCAAATGGGCCAGCGAGCGTCTCCTTGAGGAGTACAACAAGCAACACGGGGTGAATGTGTGGATCCACCGCCCCTCAACCATCATCCGCGAGGGCGCCGATGCCGAAAGCGCCGCCGCGCAGACCGACTGGATGAACGCCTTGGCCGCGTACATGCGCAAGACCCGCGCTGTACCCTCGCTGAAGAACCTGCGGGGTGCTCTCGACTTTGTCTCGGTGCACAACGCGACGAAGAGTATTCTAACAGCCGTGTTTGGGAGCAAGCCCAAGGCTTCCTCTGCGGGTGTCTCTTACACTCACCAGGTTGGCGATATTGTGATTCCGCTGGACAATCTTAAGGAGTTTGTGATCAAGGAGACGGGTGCTGCTCATGTCGATGTGCTTCCGGTGGAGGAGTGGAGTGCTCGAGCGGTGGCTGTGGGATTGAACCGGGGAGTCGCGGCGTTGATCGACTCGATGGATGACCCGGGTCAGCCTCACTATCCTCGGATGCTAAGGGGGGAGTAACTGCATAACTGGTAGTCTTGTCTTGTATGCTCATTTATAGGTAGTGTAATGCAATATGGCTTTTTTGCCGCCCTTGAACGAAAACTAGCTCGCGCAAAATGAGATTCGGCCTAGCCATTCTGGCGAAGCAGTCCACATACACTTTTATCCTAGGTTTTTAGGGCCCGCCACCACTCGACCAAGCAGTCTGGTCTTCATATGTCGGATTAATATCTGCTATCCAAAGCTACTATACACATACATGGACTCAACCACTCTTCCTCGCCAAAACACTAACCGGTAACCAGTGGAACTGCGCCCCACCCGGCTTCTGGATCTCCTCATACAACGCCGCCAACGCTTCCAACCATTCCTCCTGGCTCGGTACCGAAGGCGCCGCCTGCTTCAGCCTTTCCAACAGCGCACTGCTACTCTCCAGCGCAAGCATGAAGGTGTTCGTCACAAGAGGGATGAGGCTGGGAGCCCACGGCTTATACTGACAATCCACTACCTCCAGCCCGGCGCGGCGGTTGACGTGTTGATCGAGCTCGTCGAGCCATCTGGTTTGATAGATGTTAGGCTCAGGTACTACTGTACCTCGTGTTGGAGACTCCCACCGCGAGGAGTGCAGGACATACTGGAAGTTATGCTTGGTGACCGTCCACTTCCGGCGCATCAGCTCCCGGAACCGCAGCGCGGTCTCGTCGCCCTCGCGCGTGACGATACTCCCGAACCGGGCATCATCCCACTGGAGGTAGCCCCCTGGCTCTTTGCGTCGGGGGGTTGGGTATGTCAGTAAAACGGTGGAGGGGGCTTGCCGAAGAACCCTCAAGGGAGTTTGTGGGCTTGGGGGCTTGGGGTAAGGCAAAGTACTCACTCAACAATCTCTCCGCATGCCGGATCAGCGCGCTGGGGTCGTTGTCCCGGATAACAAACGCCCACATGCGCAGGTGCACTACGTCGAAGTGCCCGATTAGGTCTTCGGGGATTGTCTCGCTGAGCGAGTCGAGGTGGTCGAAGCGTACATTCGCGGGCCAGTATTCTGGGGCGGGCAAGTGGGTGCTTGCGATGTCGTAGCCGACGACTTGGGCGCTGAGGGGCAGGTGAGGGGAGAGTTCAAGGGCCCAGATGCTGGAGATCTCAGATTGTATGTATGAGCATGGGAGCAAAGGTCCGGAAGAAGTGGAGGAGAGAGGGCGAGAGGGAGGGAGCGAAGGGGAATCCTAACCCAGTTCCGGTCCCGATGTCCGCTATGATCATTCCCTCCTTTAGGGGAATGTCGGGGTGAAGCAGATAGCCAGTGTGGAGTTGCCAGAGCAGATGCTGGGAGGAGACCCTAAGAAGTAGGGTTTGGGGTTAGCATGGTGAGGAAAGTCTCGGGTGTGTGGTGCGCATACCTGGTGGCTTCGAAGCGATCGCGTGGGAGCAAATAGGTGGTGGGAGTCGAGGAGGCCATGATTGGGGGCTTGGGGTTTGATGTCAGAATTGCCTTTGCTTGAGAGATTGATGAGGGTGTTGAAGCTCTGCTGTAGGCTATATTTGAGGACCGGAATTTCCAAGGAGAGATAGACCCGAAGAGGGGGAAAGCGGTGGATATGATGCACGAGCCCGTCACAAACACAGACTAGTCTACGTATGAGAACCTGCATGATGATCGGCAGCGTCTAAGGCAGTGAGTCTGCATTATGTGTCCATTCTCTAATGCTCTGGCTCTGTTCTCGCGGCTGGATTGTAACTACTAGTGATCTGCTGCTCCTAGTGGGTTTGTGCGGTGCAGCAGTTGCAGCTCGGTATAGTGCCCAGTACCTACAGTACATACACATTGCTTAATGGGATGGCACGTCGCCGCCACTGCGTGAGGCGCTTTTTGTCTGCACCAAGTAGTCATGGTGGACGGTGATCCCCCCGCCAGCCTGCATAGGAACCTGATCTCCATACCGGTACTCGTCATCATCCGAAAACAGCCGCCACGGAGTGCGGCCAGAACAAATCTTGCCTTGGGGGTTCGGAAAGGACCCCGCGCTGGGACGACTACCAGATAGCCCCGTCTTCTCCCTGAAATATGTGTAAACGGGCCGCAGGCAAGGCAAACAAGCTTTGTGGCCCTCAAAAGTCAGTCCGTACGACGATTGCGGGCAGTGGGTGGGGAGGCTTACCAGCAACGGTGCCGATGTTCAGCTCTACGCAGGTCCAGATCAGATACGGGACGAAATTCCACGTAATGTCTTCGGAGCTAAGATCGACACTCATGAGGCAGACGAGTCGGATGATGGAGATGACAATCACGCTAGCCAGTGAGTTAGTCACAGGAAAACATGCAGTCAGCATTTAGTGCCGCCAACCGCGGGTTTATGTTATACTCACAGGCCCCCCATCAAAAAAGTCAGGGTGAGAATTGTCTTCTGCGTCCGGGTGGTGTGCAGCTCCCAGATGGCTCTCATTGGGATCATCAGAATCCCAATGTCGGTGACCGTGTCCGGGATGGACTTTCCCAGAAAGTAATCGCGGTTGTTGACTCCACATTTGGCCGGGATGCTCTTGTCCCAATACCCCTGCAAGGGGATGCATTGGAAGCAAACAATGAGGATCTGTTTCGGGGTTTGCTTCTGGATCAGCAAGGCAAACAAAAAGGCGGAAACAGTCTGTTGTTTGTGGGGCGGTCTCTGTCCTATCCTTACACAAGCTAGAGCCCAGGCAAACACGATCCAGGCAACAAATGTGGTCGCCTTCTGCACGTGAGGAACTCGGAAACTTCGTCGGTAGGAGAGCAGAATAGAAAGTTTGATGGCAACGGTGGCGGCCACATAGAAGAGCTCTGCAATGACCAAGGATTTGAGGAAGGCTGAGACCGAGCCGGGAGGCGCAGCCCAGAGATGCAGCCCTAACCCATGTCGAACGTCTGCATGTTTGTTTGTACATAGATTAGTCGCTGGACTCTCGAAGCAAACAGCATGAGTGAGAACTAACTCCAGACAACCGGCAGCAGGGACACAATGGCCCCGAAAATCTAGACTCGATGGTTAGGATATTGCTCTCAAAACAATCAGCCGCGAAAGGGGGGGGGGGGGGGGGGAGAAGGGGGAGAGACCAGCGACGATAGAACCACCCAATCATCCCACCACAGTCCGGCTTTGACCAAAATTCGAGCGGTGAATCTTAGCGAGACCGTCAAAAAGGCCAGGATCCAAGTCGTAATTAGCACAGCTACAATCTTTGGCCGTTGATCCGCTGAAAGATCAATTCCTGTTGGCCCGGTGGCGCTCATTGCTGCGCGGTCGGATTTTCACGAGGCGAGACACGAGTTCACACACGAAAGGGTTTGGAATTGTTGACGTTCATGGTTGTCAGAAACTTCTCACCTCTCTACATATAGCCCTCGCTAGAGTCAAGATTCATTGAGTATAATGGGTAAGAGGGAAGGGTGCAGACAGCTAGATAGCTGCACGAATATCCCGTTAGGAAGTAAGGCTTGCCTTTGGAGTCGAAGAGTGTGGGGGCCTAGGCATTTTGGATCAGTCGGCAAAAGAAGGATCGATAAGGTAACATTCAACTGAGCTTGTTTTCATTGCTTGTTTCCCATGCCAGTGCGTATAAAGGTGGAGTTCTTTCAGTCAATCATCGGGGTCACTCTCTACAATTCCAACACCCCCCCCGGAAGCTCCTACCTCCATGACCATGGCGCAAGTTCCTAAATACAGACTGATCGGCGATCATGAGTCTGGCGAGGCCAGCGCAAGATTGAGAGCAAACACGCTTCGATTCTTATGGCACTCCTTGCTAGCTGCACTCCTGTTGTTAGTGGCCTTTGCTGCAGGGAGATACCAGGCCCCTCCCGTGGTTTCCTGTGAGTGCTTGACTGCTATTCCTTCATTGAGTGAAAGAAGAAGAGACAGCTGATACACTGCCACCTATTCCCACGCATTAGTGGCAACCAAGCCCTCCGTATTTGAATACAACGGCGCATTCCAGGACGAAAGATCACCCCTGACCAACGATCTGTGGGAGGGACTCTTTCCCAAACGCAAGGGCTTCTTTCAGCACCCGACCATTGCTGATCACCGATCGGCGTTTGCTGTGTATCACCAGCTACACTGCCTGGTACGAAGTTCTTCGGACTCCCCACATCCCACTCAAATCAAGAAGCAACGAGTTTAGCTAACGAAAATGGAACGCGACAGAACAGCATCCGACAGGGCTACTGGGGCTTGTACGACATGGCAGTATCCAGGGGCCAGAACAACCTCACCAGTGACGATGATGATCTTCCCCACATGCTCTCACCGCACCACATCCGTCATTGCCTCGAACTACTCCGGTTGGCGTTGATGTGCCAGCCCGACCTGACCGTGGAGCTCAAGAACGAAACCCTGGGTGGAGTGACGGGATACGGGACCGAGCATCAGTGCAAAAGCTGGGAGGATCTGTCTCACTGGATGGCTCAGTGGGAGTCCTTTGGACTATGACTTAGCGGCTAGATACTGGGCGAATAAATTTGGCAAACGGAAACAAGTGCGGCTGTGTATTCAAACTAGTAGTGAGTCCCGTCCACAAGGCGAACGTTTAGGTAGACCTGAGCAGCAAATCATATCTCTTTCCCCATTAGTGGGTTCTCCAACCCTTGGATCTCTTCCAACTCCACTGACCGAGGCTGCAGTGACCGTCGCAGGAGAGCGAAATCGACACATGTTCGCACGGGCATTGCGGGGTTGAACTCGGGTTTCTGCTGGGTCTCTGTCCACCGGAAGGTCATCAGATATGCATCGGCGTGGCACTGGACACTCTGGCGCAGCATGTCCAGGCAATGGCCTTCTCAGAAAGGGCGGTAGTGTCAGCATGCGGCATTTTCGCCGAGGAGGGGGTGGGGGGTTCAGGATGCGATGGGAACCTACTAATGTGGGATTCGAGTTTGTTCTGCTCTGCGGCTGTTAGGTTGGGATGGTAATAGTCCCGGTGAATCCATTGGCGGAGGGTGTTCTTGAGCCCAGAGTAAGTACATGATTTCCAATAGAGCTCATCATGGAGGTTTTTGATTGGGTAGGGGAGGAGGAAAGGAGGCTGTACAATGCAATGCAGGTCGTGGTATACTCCAAGCCAGGCAAGGTGCTTGTCATCTCGAGGCAGCGAGATTGAGGTCTGGTTTGCCAGGTCCAGTTCCTCGGTTGAAACTCGGATGAACATATCCCCAAGTAGATCCTCCCAAGCTGCATCGGCCAATGAGCCGGGATCCTGGAAATATGCTGTTTGGGAGTAGTCGGTGAATTTCGTGGGAACAAAGTGGCGTTGAAGGCCGCGAAGCTCTATATGGTGGTCAGTTTGAATTAGTCTCAATGTCAAAACAGCCACCACCAAGCTTGCCTTCTCCGCGCGTCAATGAACATGCTGGGCTCGAACGGTGCGCGACCCAGGAAGTGAGAGATATCAAAACGAATGCATTTATGAGAACGGGAACTCCAATCCAAAGGGCGATTGGTTTAGAAAAGCTGGATTTGCACGTATGCTGAACCTGATGCCACCAGCCTTTTTGCTGCTGCTGGTCCCCATCTGTCGCGGTGGGCGTCAGAAAGGGCTGTGACTCTGTCTCCATGTTGTCTTTGATTAGGTGAGGAGAATTTCAATCCGGCGGTGATCTCGCGCGATGGCACCGTAGTAGCAGTCCCTTGTCTTCAAATGAGTTTTTCTTTGCTTGGGGCTGGAAGGACAAGAGTATGTTTGCCCTGTAAATCAATCCGTTCTCAGCATAGATCATGTGTGCAGCCGAGTGCATCCTCATCACTCGCATGCCGCTAATGCTTCACATTACACATCACACACATAGCATGCGAGGAATCGGTGGGCTTGGAGCAGCCGAGTTTTTCCCTCTCTTTCCCTTTGTGACCCAGGGCTTGCGGTCTGGGTGTCGGTTGCTGGGCGCGGTATCGAGGTCTATAAGTCGGTGTCTCTACCTCACAGTGTCCGGGGCAGATAGAGGAAGAGAAGGAGAGAGGAAGCTTGCGTCCATTTCCAACCCGATCCCCGTACATATCATCTTCTTTCATCTGAGAAGCCCAGGGCGTCGGTCTCAGCAGCAAAACAGCATACCGAGATCTTATATCCCTTCTTTGCCGAACCACCTGTCTCAAGATGAAGCCGTTGTCCGCGATGATCCTCTTGGGGGCTGGGAGCTTCCTAGTCCTCGCACTTCCCACCTCCGATAGCAAAGGTAATGAACATCCTACCCGCTCTGGTTCAATTGGGAAACTTTCGGTACTAACATCAATTATGAATTATGCTCTGGTAGCCACCCACTTCATTGAAGAGAACATTGCGTACCCGGAGGCGTACAGGGAAAAGCGTGCGGAAACACCACAGGGCCGCTCCGTCTCCGTCGAGGCGGAGGTTGCTTACCCGGAGGCATACGCGGAGAGTAAATGAGGCAACTGTTGCTTATTCAGTTGTGCTGTTGTTGATGGATAGTGAAGTGAAACTTCAATGCTCTTTTTCCAGGTGCAGATTGAATAGCATAGAATCTGTTTACCTGCCGAGGTTGATTTATCGGCTTATCCGCCCGAACAAAAACAAAAAGAAAAAGCAAAAGAAGAATGCGTCAGCGGGGAGTCGAACCCCGATCTATTGCTTGGAAGGCAACAATGCTAACCGCTACACCACTAACGCTTGCTTGTGTTAGTTCTTTCTAAGTACATATCACAAGGTACTTGTGCTAATCTGCAATAACCCCATTTTTCTTAGTAAACTTATAATAATTTTATAAATTATTGCTTTACCGCTTCAACAGACCGCCTCTCTTTCTAACTGACCCTAAGATAAGAATCATATACAAGATTCCCTAATAAAGAACCCTGATATACCAATCCCTTCGGCCTAAGATATCCTAAGACCCTAATAGCCCTAATAATCCTAATGTAACTTATAGTTGTTTAAACTAGGCAGCTTGGAAGGCTAAAACAGTATTGTCAGCAAATTGGGATATTGTAAATTGGTATGAGTAGCCCACCGTAGCTACATTATATATTCGGCAAACTGGAATTGATTTCATGCCTTATGTAAGACTGACGCCGAGCTGGGCGGCCCTGCAGAAAGTAATCTCTCCGCAACCTTGCCGTGTCCTGCTATCGTAACCCAGGGACTGCTTTGCTCTACTGCTATGGTTGAACACTCTTCTCTAGCTGCTTCGAGATCTAGCAAGATTCTATCTTCATCTGATGGGGCGGATCGGGTCGTTGCCTGCGACTCGTGCTACAAAAAAAAGGTGACGCCCTTTCCCCCTTTGGCCTTGCAGCGCTGATGGCGACCCCAAGATCAAGTGTGAGGCTGACAACCACCAATATAACTATTGCCTGCACCGTAATATTGCCTGTACGTATAGCCGACTGGCCCGGGGCTCAAATAAAAGGTATGAATCGAACAGCCGCCGCCGCCTCACAGAAACTCCAAGTCTGATCTGTGGTTGATGTACAGTGCAGAAAAGCCCAGGACCCGGACCAGAATGCCGCCAGGGGCTCTTGGGATGAGCCGCTTGCCATGCGGCCGCATTCCTCCTCTACGAGTATGTATAAGACTTTTCTTTTCTGCGCTCTATTCGGTAATCGTCTAAAATCCCACTGGCAGAGGTTCCAATGGTCAATCTGGGGTTGATGTATCTCAACGGGAAGCCGAGATAGCGCCGATGAGGGCAGGGCATGGGTGGAATCTCGCACCGGGGAGATCGTGAACATGGATAAATTGAGCACATTGGAGCTTCCGTGGGCCAGAGTCGGTCCTGTCCGGGACTCTTCCGCCGTACCTAAGCTCCCCGCTCGCCCCATGGTGGAGCGAAGTGTTGCTTCATACTGTTCATCATATCAGAGCCTCGTGTTTCCGGTCATCAGCAAGTCACTGTTCGCCAAGACCCTGCATCTCGCGTACGGACCACACTGTTATGGTTCCGACAGTGCCAAGTCCTGCATCTATGCCTTATTGTCGGTGGTGGCGATCTTTGGCCTGGAGAATGATCTGGGCGATGCACTGGACTGCGAGGCGTATGCCATAGCGTCCCAGAGCTTCACCGTCCCGATCATCAATGAAATGACCATGGATGGTCTTCAGGCGCTTGTCATGCTTGTAAGTTGATTCCGACTGGAACCGAGAGAACTCAACTAAAGGCTACCTATCATCAGACGCAGCATCACTACTTCCTGGCTGACTTACAAAGTGCGGCGGTCTCCATGTCCATGGCCAGCCGTCTAGTATTCAAGCTGGGCGCGCATGCGAGACCTGGCCCCACCATCTATCACAAGAGCATACCCGAATGCCATCTGCGCGACCTTTTCTGGCTCTGCTACTCCTTTGATCAGGATCTCTGCCTCACAACTGGACAGCCCCCGTCGGAATCCGGGGTGTTCTGCTCCCTGGACCTTCCGACACATTACGCACAGCTGCAGGACACCAATCTGCAGCACCCCGAGCAGACGTTGGCCATCACGGATGCCACGCTCCCTCTCTATCCCTGGGACCTTCGTCTCTCCCCGCTCAAAGCCGAGATTTACGAGGCTCTCTACTCCGCGACCGCGTGCCAGAGATCCAATTCGGAGTTCTTCGCCCAAATTCACCGCCTCGACCAGGCCTTGGAACATTGGCGCCTGAGCCTGGCTCCGGATATCCGGCCGACGCTGCAATTCTCCGTGGGAATGCCCGTCGACGCCACGCATAATACACAGGCCGTGATGCTGCGAAGAACAAGGGGATGGGGGGAAAGGTCAATGGACTGACGCTGCGCATCTCGATAGGGTTGTCATGTTCTACGCGATCACTTCCATCCTGACGCTCTTTCGCAATATCCTCAGAAACCCACGAGATCCTGCCATGGCGGATCTGGCGGATGTGCTGCAGGGGGTCCCGAATCTGATCGGCAAGATCCCCATCCGGACGCTGACGGTGGGCCCGATGATTCATCTAAGGTTCTTAAACAATTTCGCCACCGAGCCTGCTAGGCTCGCTAGATGTGCTATGGCCAAAGCTGAGCGTGAGGTTGCCGCCAGCGACGAGCATTCTTTACCGTAACTTGTGCCCTCTCATGTGCAGTCGCGCGTGTCCATAAGAAAAAGCCATGGAAGAATAGGCCTCCATCCTGCAGCAAACTAAACACTAGCCATCTACAACAAATACAATCATTCTGACCGGTCGGGGAGTGTGAAGATCTTTTCTATGTTAAAGAGAGTTACGAGGATGGAAGACCTAAGAGCTCCTGATGAGGGATTACATGACGTGGCACCGAAGCAGAGACCGCGTGGGGGTGTTTTCGAATCGCTGGTCAGGGCTATATTTTCCCGTGCTTAGTGGAGGGATACCGGAAATCCGGTATAGAATTCCTGAAATCCAACTACATGAATTTCACTTATTCTTTCCTCTCTACGTGTATGCATAAAGTCGTTTGACATGGTAAACAGAGCTATTTTCTGCTAATTGCATGTATATCTCGGTTACTTACAATATACGAAGGAGTTGCTGGTAGACCCACCGAGAAAAACTGGATCCGCCGCTGACAAAGCGGAGGCGCATTCCGCGGGACGCATTGCTTGGACTTGGGTCTCCCAACTAATTAATATCCGGCTCTCTCAAGTGTATAAAGTACTCATTATAAAGCCATGCATCATTGTCGGTGACCGAATGATTATCACTGGCCAGAGTGAGTACTATTCCCCGTCTCACCCTTCCGCTGCGTTGGAGCCGGCAGTTGACTATCTCTCTCCTAGCCGGCATGGATCCGGTGACGTGCCAGACCGCTCCTGATCTGGAGGCCCAAGTTGCCCAGACCTTTGAGAATATCAAGGCTCTGATCGAGCGAACCTTGCAACAGGCCCAGCATCCCGCCTACCAAGAGGGAAAGTCCGGCTAGGAGCTTGTCGTCAAGTTACACGCTTACTTTGTCGGCTTGTCGGCGGTGCGAGACGAAGCGCGAGCGATCATGGTGCGGCACATTAAACAGGCGTGCCCTCATCACCAGCCACTCTTGAGCATGGTGGGCATCGAGAGCTTGCCATTCCCCCAGCATCGGGCTGAGCTGGAGGTTGATTTATGGATTGGCTGACTTCTGACCTATTGCTGTCTCGAATTGCTGTCATGGCGGTATCTTCCCACGATAGTACACATCTGTATCACGGCCGCAAGAATCACTTGATGTTCTGTTCGTTGATCCAATTCCAAACGGATCGGTGTCTCTGGACATGAAATATTGATTGCATGTCTCCCACTCCGATCAAGTGTTATTCTAGCTGAATTGTTCGCCCTTTTGAGTTGAGGAGGTTGTTCGAATATGCTGCTAGGGCCAGTGATTGCATCTTCAAAATAGAGATATCCTGGGCTTGAGATAGCCGGTCACCACTTGGGCTATTCTCAGCGTCCATGTTTAGTACGACCCCCCCCTTCGATGCACCGGTAGTGGTCCCCCGTCTAAGTGTAGGGCAGAACTACGGCAACTCGGCATCATCGGATGATCTTTGACCACCAAACCAGGGTCGAGTAGTGAGGCTATTCCAAAGAGGTACTCAGGGACCCGTACTGGCGCGATATCCTATTAAATGCATGTGGGGAAAGTCGGGTTGTATGGCTGTATGAGTACCTCCATCTCCAGCCCCCGATGAGTAAGCGGTCTCGTCATGAGTTTGTGTCGGTGGAGGTGAAGTATAAGTAGCTGCGGCAATCGCAGATAATCTTCTTGCCACACATTACACATCTTCTTCAACGCTTGTTCACTCTTGAAAACTTTGGAACAGTGGTCGATCAAGCATTATGTCTCCGCGCCTTGTGGTTGTTATTGGAGCCACCGGCTCGCAGGTTCGTTACCGGCACAATCGCCATTAGTACTTGCTGTACATCACACATCCTGCTTGGTAACTGACGATGGCTCAATTGAATTCTCGACGATAGGGAGGGTCCGTCGCAAGGGAGCTCCTCAAGAGCCCGCAGCTCTATCAAGTCAGGGCTGTGACCCGCGACCCCAGTAAGCCAGCAGCCCAGGAGCTTGCCACCCTCGGAGCAGAGATTCAAGCCGCCGATCTGGGTGACGGGGTTGAAGCGCTTACGGCGGTCTTTGCCGGCGCCGATGCGGTCTTTGCGTTGACGGACTTTTGGGCAACACAGTCCTCCGAGGTCGAGATTGCGCAAGGTCGTGCCATTGTGGATGCAGCGGCCCACACGTCGACCCTTCAGCACTTTGTGTGGAGTGCGCTGCCTGACCCCGAGAAACTCTCTGGCGGAGCGCTGATGCATATCCACCACTGGAAGGGTAAGAGTCTCGTCACGGACTATATCCAGCAACAGCATCCAAACCTGTGGGCCGCGACCACTACCGTGCTCTTCCCCAACTATTTCGAAAATTGCCTGACGCACCCCGAGCGGTATCTGTCTAAGCCGGTGAGTCCGTGGTGCCGTGGTAATTCCGCCGGCGAAACCTTGCTGACCGTTTCCAACAGGATGCGCAAGGGGTGTACAACATGAGCTTTCCGCATGGCCCGCGCACGGTCATGCCGAACGTGTCGATTCGAGATACTGGGAAGCTGGTCCGGCTGGTCCTGGAGTCTGGCTCCACCTACTTCACCCGCACCATTGCGTTCTATGGTCAAGCTATCTCGGAGGCAGACAAGTTGGCTTCAATCGGTCGAAGTATGGAAAAGACCCGTTCTTGTGTCCCTCTCTCCTCTTCCTGCTACCAAAACCAAGGATCGTAGACGGCTCACATTTCACAACACAGAGTATAACCTCCAAACCAAATATCAGACCTTGGACCCGGACGATTATGAGCGACTTCTGGAGACTCGGGACGGCATGTCTCCCGAGATTGCACTGGATTTCACCGAGCAGCTCCTCATGTTCGAGAGGTTCGGTAATGTCTACGATACACCCGAGTTTGTGCAAGCTAAAGAGGTACGTGGGCCGACCTGGTTTGGTGAATGCCAGCCGATTATGAGAACTCATCCGCCAACACTCACGCATCCAGATACCTGGATTGAAACTTCAAACTTGGGCTGAATTCCTGGCAGAGCATGATCTTCTTGCCTACATGAAAAAGCTCTGAGAGAGGGCGCGGGGAGACGGCTCCAGGAGCCGTGCCTGGTCTTTTCTGCCTCGCCGGGTTCGCTTATGCACCATCTTGGTGAGTGCTGTTATCAGACTTTCTCCTTGGCTCGACATCATCGCGGCTTTGCGGGGGTATACTTCATCTAAGTTGAAAATAAGACCATCTGTAGCCGGGCGAATATGAGACTGACCTTATGCCAAACTCTCCTTTCAGCTATTTGCTACATCTTTGCTTTATAGGTGTTACGGTAGTCTATAGTGGAGCTTCTTGAGTCATGGTTGCAACACACGCCGGTAAGGAAGATCTGGGAAAGCGCCTGCTAAGGCAGCTGGACCTCCTGCCATGATTACAAGACCTCTTGCGTTACGTCCTATATCCCTCTAGTACGATACGGACGAGTTCGTAGCACCACGCTCAGAAGGAAACTGTACCGTCTTCAGGCCTCCACCTTGCTGGGATGGAGGGCACGGTCGATGAATCTCCCACCGTTGCGGGTTCGCGGGGTGGCCGAATTGCCCTAAATGACCGCGGTCGTTCAGAAAATGGTAGATTCCAGGTTAGCCCTGGGTTCGTGATCGAGCACTGGTGCAACTGAGCACCGCCAATCCACAAGGATCGCCGCTTAGTAATCGGAGGCGATGGAGAAAAGTGCTGTAGCAATTCATACCAAGGCCCGAACCAGAAGTGAGGTACTCCACCCAGCGACAAATAAATAATCCCCCGTCGGGAATCGGGCAGTTGAAGTGAGTACAGCCCTGTGCGTCAAACTCCAAGTTTTGGCAACGGAAACGTTCATCCGGACATAATCCAACATGACCAAGGTTGTACTCATTACCGGTGCTAGTCGAGGTAAGACATCCCTCACCGGATTTCTCAAGAAACAGCAAAGTCCGGCTAACCAGGGTGCAGGCATCGGGAAAAGACTGGTGGCGCAGTATCTTGCCCGTCCAGACACGACCGTGATCGCAGCCGTACGGGACACGACATCCGCGAGCGCAGAGCAGCTGGAGACTCTGCCTAAGAGCAAGGATGGATCCCGGCTTATAGTCATTCGACTCGCAGCAGATGATGCCCATGGCGCGAGAGAGGCAGCCTCTGAGATTCAGAAGCAGAACGGCCTGGATCACATTGACATCGTTATCGCCAATGCAGGTATATGCGATCACTGGGGCCCAGTCTTGGAAGCCGCCGAGGAGGAGGTGAGGTCGCACTTGGAAGTTAACATCCTGGGGCCTCTTCGACTCCTCCAAGCCATGGCACCCTTGCTAAGAAACGCGAGTGCGCCGAAGTTTATCTATATTTCTACGCTACTTGCCAGTATTGGTGGGATTGGCCAGATGTATACCCTCACGGGACCGTATGGAATGTCCAAGGCGGCCGGAAACTACTTGGTCAGGAAGGCTCACGCGGAGAATGAGCATCTGGTCACCTTGTCTATCGATCCTGGGTAGGTCCGAACCTTCTGTTTCCATGTTTCCACTGCAAGCTGCTGACCAGGTGGGGGAGGTAAGCCTTGTACAGACAGATCTGGGCAATCGCGCGGCCCAGTATTATGGGTTGCACAAGGCTCCAGTGACGCTGGAGGACAGTGTTCGCGGAATAATGACACAGGTAACGACAGAGTAAACTCACGACTGTTGCCAATTCAGCAAGGCTGACCTTTGTACAGATCGATACAGCCACAAAGTCGACCACTTCTGGCATGTTTGTAAATACCAGCGGAGAAAACGTGTGTTGGTAGTTGGGGTGGGTTGTAGGGTTAGCAATATAAGGAGAGGGTTCGGCGTCATGCTGAAAGCGAGTGGAGCTACAGCGTGTAGGAGGAGAGTCTATTTACGGCTCCAAGCAGCGGGCGAATGAAGCCTTTTGAAGTTGTTGGATACTTGAATATCTTAGGTACTTGAGACAAGATGTGATGAAATATCCAGAAATGACGGGGTGGAATATCTCCGCGCGCATAAGCCGCGCTCTGTCTTCTGTCTCGCATCATCTCACCTCCATCTTTTCAGATTGACCCGCTACAGCACTATCGACAGAATGGTCAAGACGAATGCGTTTGAGTCAACACATCTCCGCCAACTCCTGCTCGATCCCCCGCCACACCACCTCACGCAACGGCCCCTGCAGCCAATAATTCCCGGCGGCATCCTTCCCCATGATGGGCATGAGGTTCCGGAGATCAAACTTGGTCGACCACGCGTTGAACTGCACCATCGACGCGAACCCGGGCTTCTCCGCGCGCTGCGCCGCCGGCAGACCCTCGCGCACAATCGCCGCCGAGAAATCCGTCTCGAAGTATTTGCCCTTGGTCCAGTTGGAGTAGCTCATCATCTCCATAGACGCGTCCCCGAAGATCGGCCAGCTGTGGCCCTCGGTGGCGAAGGTTTGCCGCTTGATGCACTGTAGGGCTTCGACCTGTTCCCGCGTGCCGCCGGTGGTCATGGACCGGCGGATGGCGTGCGCGGCGTAGCTGAGAGGGCGGGTGAAGAAGTCCTTGACCTGCAGGAACGTGTAGATCTCGGTGGCCGCGTTGGAGATGAAGGCCTTCGAGGCAGGAAGGTGGGAGTCGCCCAGCACGGTGGAGAGGGTGAAGGCGTTCATGATGCGCATGGTGCGCGTGGAGGTGCGCGGGTAGAGGGCCGACAGCGTCAGGCGCGTGAACCATGCGGTGAGGATGTCGTTGTCGCTCACGAAGGCCGTGTCATCCCCGGTCGAGGCCCGGATCTCGGCGATGGCGCGCTGGCGCAGGTTGGCCAGGTACGCGCCGGGGATGCAGACGATGCGCGACCCCGTGCGGTACCGCCAGCCGTCGTACAGCTGGTGCGCGATGAAGAGGTACTTGCGCCAACCCGTCAGCTGCTTCTCCGCGTACATGTACTTGGTCGTGGACTGCGGGTCGGTGCCGAAGCTCGCCAGCGGGTCGTGGGCGTAGCCGTGGAATGCGGGGATCTCGTCCTCGCGGCCCTGCAGGACGAGCGCCCACGAGCGGTAGATCTGCGCCCCGCCGGTGCCATCGGTGAGGGTGTGCGGCAGCGAGATGGAGACGAGGGTGGAATCCCTGAACGAGGCAATGTGCAGGCTCAGCTGCGGCACGTCGCGCGTCAGGTAGTCGTGCAGGGTCTTGGGGGCGTCCGCGCTGGTGGTTAAGGGGTCGAATTCGGTGGGATCGGCCACGACGGCGGGCTTAGCGGTCGGTCGGGGGAGGCGTGAGGCCAAGGGGTGCTCGAGGATGGAGGTTTCGTAGGAGGCGTGCGAGTAGTTCACGATGGGGCGTTTGGCGTCGTAGTACTCCGGGATGTGGTATTCGAGGCCCCCGTTTTTCTGCGGAATTTCAGCTACGGTCCTTATCTAAGCTTGTGAATGTAGTGAACGTACATTCAAGCGCAGCCGTGCTCCGATCTTGCGCCATCCAGGTCGGTCGAGCAGTCTCTCGAAAGACGCCCGAAGCTTCTCCGGGTCCAGCACGTCGTCGAACCGGTAGGACAGCACCACGCACACACTGCGTAGCACTTCCGTGTCGTCCGCGGCATTCAGCGGGATGACCGTGTCCGTGGGGACGCGAGCAGGCTGGGCTGGTTCACTGCTGCTGAATAGTCCAAACATGATGCTGGGTGTGCGGTTGAAGCAGGGCTGTGGAAAGCTCGCAGGACAGGTATGAGAGCGCAGGGTGTGGTGGTCATGTCGTGTCTTTCGACTTCCTTAGCGCTTTCGGTGATTTATGGCCGTGACCAGATATTGTTATCTTGTCAGCAATGCTAAGCAGCGGATATATTGGACGCTGTCTGTGTCTCCGATTTGTTGGTCGGGAATTTTTGGGGATGATCGGGAATATCCAGCGAGGCAGCCCACCGCGTAGCCCTAACTCACCCTCTGTTGACTTCCTCGCAAGACAGACCATGTCCAGCCCGGAGGTTCTGATCGACAAACTATGGTTACATCTTTGCCGTGGGCCTTAGGGCTCTGTGGCGATACTGATCGGACATATCGCACGAACAAAATACCGATCGCCATGTCATAGTTCGATAATGCAGCAGCGACGGCTATGAAAGCAACATGGCAGCAGAGACAAATAGAAGACCGCCCAGTCGCGGTAGCGATCTGATCTGATCCCCACGCTCGTCGTCTTAACCTGGATACAGATACAGAAGCTTGTGTCAGTATGGAGTTTGACCTCGGTCGGAATCTGTCCGCCCCTGCACCGGGCATCCTGCCTATCGCAGATTCGCGGTCCTACACTGTAACTCTAACCGCTTTATGGATCCCCATCTTCATTGCAATCTCGCTACTGTGGTATGGACGACTGGAGAGTCCCCTGGCTCATGTGCCCCTCGTGTCCACCGGGAAGTCCTCGTTCTGGGATATCGGCCACAAAAAAGCTAAAGAGAGCTTCGCGGCCAATGCGCGCAAGATTGTTGCCAAGGGGTTTCAGCAGGTACAATGCCTATTCTGGAATTGGGTTAAGATGGTGGCTGATGAGGGGTTAGGTTGGCAACACGAAGCCGTTCAGGGTCATCTCCGATCTCGGGGAGATGCTGGTCCTCCCGCCCTCGATGGCGGATGAAGTGCGGAACATCGATGCGCTCAGTCACGGGGAGTTCATGAAAGAGGTTTGCCATCGTGCTTTCCCGGTAGCAAGACGCTGTCCGACTGACTGGAGTGTCTAGTCCACATGTGCGGAAGTCCATGGATTCGAACCGTTTTTTGAATCCACTGGGCACAGTTTGCTGGCTGATATGACCAAGACGAAGTTGATGGGCTCGCTGAGTATGTTCTCAGTTCCGATGGATCGAATCTGATACTGATACTAACCCTGAGCTAGAACAGCTGACAGACCCTGTCAATGAGACAGCAACCCAAGCGTGCAAAGATCTCTTCCCTGATGACGACGGTAAGCTCACTCACTCCTCTCTATCAGACTTGACAACGTACCACCTAACAAGGACATAGATTGGCACGAAGTGGTCCTCAAAGACATTCTCCTCGAGATCATCGCCCGGATGTCGTCCACCATCTTCTTGGGCGATGAGGAGGTTCGTCATGACAAGGCCTGGCTCCGCCTCACCAAGGAGTACACAGTGGACTCCTTTCTCGCCGCGCACCAGCTGCGCACCTATCCGCAGTTCCTCTGGCCTGTCCTGGCCATGCTCTTCCCGCAGGCGCGCAAGGTCCGCGACCAGCTCCGGCAGGCCGAGGCGATCATCCGCCCGCTCATCGAGCGGCGACGCGCCGAGAAGGCCGCCGCGCTGACCGATCCGAGCATCAAGCTGCCAGAGCGGTACGACTCGATCGAGTGGCTGGAGCAGACTTCACAAGACCGCAAGATCCCGTACGCCCCCGTAGCAATGCAGCTGACTCTCGCTCTGTCGGCCATCCACACTACCACCGACCTCATCACGACGACCATGTACGAGCTCCTGCGGTGCCCGGAGGCGATTCGACATCTGCGGGAGGAGGTGGTTTCCGTCATGGGGAGTGGAGGGATCAAGCATTCGGCGCTGTACAACCTCAAGCTCATGGACAGTGTGATCAAAGAGGCGCAGCGAATCAAGCCTGCTTTATCAAGTAAGTCCCTGCCTATATTTCCCAGCAGTTCCTTTCCTATCGACACAACAAGCACACCCCTGACCCAACTTCAATCGGTAGTCAACATGGTCCGCAAAGCCACCGCAAACATCACTCTCCCCGACGGTTTTCGCATCCCCAAGGGCACTATGCTGGGCGTCTCGCACCACGGTGCGTGGGACTCGGCCGTCTTCCCCGAGGCCGACAAATTCGACGCCTTCCGGTTCGTGCGGCTGCGCGAGCAGCCCGGCAACGAGAACCGGTGGCAGTTGACCACCCTCCGGTCGGAGCATATTGCCTTCGGGCATGGACTGCACGCGTGTCCGGGGCGGTTCCTGGCCGCGAATGAGATTAAGATCGCTCTGTGCCATTTGCTGATGAAGTTTGAGTGGAAGGTTGCTGGGGAGGTGAAGCCCAGGATCATCGAGAATGGGATCTTCTTGGATTCAGACCCAGGGGTTAGGGTCTTGGTCAGGAGGAGGAAGGGGGAGGTCGAAGTTTAGATTGCTGATTGCTGTGGGAGTTCTGGGGGAGTGAGTTGATGTCATGTCTGTGGTAAGCGATATGGTAGCAATACTTATCTCGGAAATTGCATTGCATTGAGTTGTTATGACGTATCCTGTTGAGATGTGTGAGGCACGGCTTTAGCAAGACATCTGGAATGATGAGAGGTTAGAAGCTACCTAAACATTAAATAGATATGGAGAAGAATCTATCCTGTCAGTACTTTGACTTGGCCAACTGATCGGTATTTGGTATCGGCCTAAACACATGACCTGGACCAGCACGAGCCTGAAGGTTACATTGTGGTTCATCAGAGCATGACTACAGAGTGTACGTAGACTTCATTATCCTCTAAGCCCTCGTCAAGCGTAAGTCGTAGATCAGCACCTTGAAGCTCCCTGCAACTGCTGACTGAGCTGAAATGGCCTGCAGTGCTCCACCACCCTATGCCGTCTTAGCGCACAGAAGGGTTGAGAGAATTGTGGTATTAGATTAAATAAACATGTAGCAAAGACGTAAAACCTATATCCCTGATCCCAATCCCGAAAAGTTCAATTATTTCCCTCCAGGTATCCTAAGTAAGTATCCTTGCTGCTGGGGCCGCCCCAGCACCATCTAGATAAAGTGATGAGACGATCCAGGTCTCGCTCGCGCATGTCCATTAGCGGGGTGCTCCGCATGATAAGCTGGCCCTTGTCGAAGTATGCCTCAATGACTCGGAGATAGTGCTCCCCGATGGCCGAGAGGAGCAGTACCTGTCAGAGATTATCGGCACCCCAACCGTAATATCTGGGAGGAACGGTGGTTGGAAGCCTACAGGGGCAATGACATGAGGTCGGAGCGAAGGGTCCCGCAAGCGCCCGTGCATGATCATGATTGCGGCGTCAACCTCGCCGCGGCAGAGCTCCTCATCCTGCGGCTGGGTGAGCTCGCTTGACATGAGAGCTACCAGATGAGGGGCCCCAGTGCTGGCATCGTGCCACACGGAGTCCACCTGCCTTTGCGAGCCTCTAGTCACGCACTCCAGGTCTTCGAAATTGAAAATTCCCCAACTGCGCAGCCAGACATTAGTGAGAATCAAACAAAAAAAGAAAAACATGGGGGGGGCGAAGAGCAAAAAGCCAGAGTAAGTAGTAAGCAGGAGACTCACGAGGTCATCGTAAACCGAGGCGGGTGCGTGGCTGCTGCTGGCATTTCGCCACGGCTGCAAAAGCGCATCAGACAGATGGCGAGGTGCTGAGCATTTTTGGATGGGCCCCGGTCGAATTGCGGCCAATCCTCGGCATCTTCGGGATATTCATACTCAGGTTCCTCGATGGGATACGGATAGGCGGAGAAGTAATAGGGAGCATGGTCGGCGTCCCCTTCCAGGGACATTCCTGTATGAGTGATCTTGACCTGCTCGAGATGAGCGGGCAACAACCGATGATCCATTGCGCCGAGCGGCCCATAAATCGCATTCAGCGCCCGGCGGCGAGCTTTCCTCTCAGCAAGGATCTGGTCTTCTGACTGCATCTTGCCGATCTCGTGGCGAGGAACAATAAAGCTTTGTGACAAGAGAGAGAGAGAAGGTGAGATGTGAAGCGAAGAATAAAGGAATGGATGGCGCGTATGCAGTCGTGGTCACGTGGTTTGGGGGATTCCTGCCCGAGGCATCAACCCTGAAACGCGGCCATGCGCATTCTTCGTGCCCAAGGGCGCCATAAGAATTTCATTGCTGTGGTAAGTCAGAGCTGCTCAGGAGTAGCCCGGGTCCTGAGCCTAGATGTATTAGAGTACGCAACTTTGAAGCGTGGGACATACAACTTAATCTATACAGGACATAAAATGGCTCCACATCAGAGGATGATCACGTAGCCGAGATAGCCACTCTGGGAAAAGACCACTTACTCTTTACTCTAGACCAAGATAGTAACGTGATATCCCTAACTAAGCCCACTACCGACGGGACGCTCAATCTAGCTCTGGATCTAAACTCTACACAGCCTCCCTTTGGAATCGACCTCCCACGCAGCACTCCCCACCGCCGTCTTCGCATAAAACACATGCGCTGGATCATACTTCTCCTTGACCTCAAGCAACCGTGGATAATTCCTCCCATACAGCTCCACCTCCCAATTCCCCTGCCACTGCGCATCGATCTCATTCAGGTATGTCCCCGCACCGGGCGTCGCCCGCTCCAGCCCCGGGATCAGCGTGTCGACCAGCTGCGCCTTCCGGGCCTGCATTTGTTGTGGGGATACATTCCAGTCCCAGTAGCTGACGATGTTGCACGTAGCGATGGCGTCACGCCAGGCGGGGAGGACGGCGTTGTCTGGGTGGGGGATGTCCTTCACGTTGAGGGCGTGGCATCCCAGCGAGAGACCTGGGTCGGTCTCGACAACGGCGCGCAGGGCAGCGACGATGGCTTGGTTCTGCATGATGCTCTGCACCCCGGCGCGGGGGATAAGGCGCGATGTCAACTGCACCGTGGCGGGGCCGGCGCCGGCGATGCCCGGGCCAAACCGGCTGGCGAAGTAGTCGTGGTAGCTCGGGGAGGTGGTGGGCGTGAACGAGTAGGGGATGTCCCGCTGGGTAAGGCGGGTGAGAAACGGCTTTAGCAGATCCTGCACTTGTGTGCCGTTTTTGTCTGGCACGGTGATGGCGTAGGCTTCGAAGCCGGTGGCCGTCAGTGCGAAGTCCCACGTGTTGGGGCCAGCGTCGACGAATTGGGGCAGGAACTGCCACAGATCGGAGATGGCGGACCAGTAGGGCTCTGGGTTGGTGGCAGAGATGTTGAAGAACAGCAGACCGCTGCCTATGGGCCCATCGACGAAGATCTTGGTCGTCATGCTGAGCACCACGGCGAAGGTCCCCGGACCCCCACCGCTGAGCGCCCAGTATAGGTCGGCATTGTTGTACGGCGTTACGACGAGGTGCTCCCCCTGCGCGCTGATGACCTCCCATTCCAGCACCGCGTCGGCGCCCATCCCGTAGGCGCCGTTGAGCAGCGAGTGTCCCCCCCCTGAGGTGTAGCCCCCGGCTAGCCCGACGGTGGGGCATGTCCCTCCCAGAATGCGATAGCCCGCTGCCCCGAGGATGGAGTAGACTTGCCCGCTGATCACCCCGGCACCCAATCGGGCGGCTGGCCCGGTGTAGTTGGCACTCGAGTACGAGGGGAGGATGTCTGTCGTGTTGAGGTTGTGCGTCCACAGGGAGAGGGCGCCTGTTCCAGTGGATTTGCCCATGAAACTGGTTGGGTTAGATACAGTCTTCTCGATCAGGGAAACTAGGGCCGTACTCATGACCGGTATTCTTGATCACCAGCCGGATGTTATTTTCTCGCGCGAAGGCAACGCCAGCAATCACATCGTCGGCGCCGGTGACATTAATGGAATAGCTGGCATAATTGCCTAAAATGCATGGTTGAGAGGCTGGAGTGAACGGAACACAGGTGTAGTTCTGTACGTAAGGGTTCATGACCTCTGCTGGATGGTCCAGACTAGGCATAGGTCAGTTGCAACATGGTATACATGCAGACAGATGTACTGACAAGGTAGTATCGTCCAGCCATGTGGTCTTGAGGGCACTGCAGACATCCGCGTTGTAGTTACCGAACGGCTCGCTGTGGCAGACCCTGGGCAGGGGGGTCGTGGCAATCAATCGGCCGTGAACCGTCTCATTGAGGGCGTACCATTTGTCGAGCGAGGGCCAAGAAGCGTCCCCAGGAATGGCGCGGCAGGAGGCATTGGAAGCAGACCGGGGGAGGGTTACACTGCGCCCAGCAGCCAAGCCGAGTAACACAGTCCACAGTATGGGTTGCATGATGCACGATTGTGATTATCCTGGTTCTTGGAATCTGCTTAGATCTCAGACAAGCCGATCTCCATGTTCTCGAATAGAAGAACAGGATTGCATCAGTTGATGAGGTGCATCGCAGCAATTCGGGTTAGGGTTGCGGACAGCCCAGAAATTCCCGAGAACCACTCGGGAATTGTGACGCGGCGTCATGGATGCTCCGGAAGTGAGCATGAATTCCTCTTCTGCCTAACCGCTGACCTCGGGAGATTGTAGTGAACTGCCGATACCGATTTCGTTGCTCTTGGAGAGACTTGGTTTATCATTTGAGAGGCTGGGCCAAAGCCCTGCCCCTCACTGTTCGTCTTCGAATACGCTCCATCCACAAAACACAGTAAAAACTTCACAATGGGCAAGCCAAACGCCATCCCTGAGCCTCCGGGCTGGCCTATTTTGGGCAATTTGCTAGACATTGATATGGAACTGCCCCTTCAGTCGTTGTATAACCTGGCGGACAAACATGGTAGGACTGCCGCCTTCAGGGACTATAGTTAGGGCTGACCAGGCTAGGCGAGATCTATCGAATGCGCTTCCCAGGAGGCCATACTTTCATCATCGCCAACAGCTATGCAATGGTGAATGAGTTCTGTGATGAGAGACGCTTCCCAAAGACCATTTCAGCTCTGAGAGTAAGTACCTCTTTGCGTCTCATCGTGCCATCAACTAATATACCCCCAGGAAATGCGACACGCCATGCACGACGGCCTCTTCACGGTAACTCCTCACCACCCACCAACCAAACCGTCTAAAACTAAGATTCCAGGCCATCGACGGACAAGTCGAGCCCAAGTGGGGCATCGCCCACCGAATCCTCGTGCCAGCATTTGGCCCCTCGTCGCTGCGCAACATGCTGGACGGGATGTACGACATCGCCAGCCAGCTCGCGATGAAGTGGGCGCGCCACGGCGCGGACAGCCCCATTACGGTGACCGATGACTTCACGCGGCTCACTCTCGACACGATTGCTCTCTGCTCGATGGACTTCCGCTTCAACAGCTACTACAAGGAGGGGACGCACCCGTTCGTCGCCGCCATGAGCGACTTCCTGACCGAGAGCGGCGACCGCGCGCGGCGACTGCCCATCCCCGCCTTCTTCTACCGGGGCAAAGACAAGAAGTTCTTTCGGGATATCGAGGTGATGCGTACAACGGCGGATGAGATCCTGCAGGAGCGCAAGCGGGAGAAGAACTTGGATTCGCGCAAGGATCTGCTGTCGGCCATGCTGAACGGGGTGGATCCCAAGACTGGGCAGAAGATGACCGAGGAAAGTATCCTGGATAATCTGATCACATTCCTCATTGCGGGGCATGAAACGACCTCTGGTATGCTATCGTTTGCCATGTATCACCTCCTGAAGCATCTGGAGATGTATCGCAGGGCGCAGAGGGAGGTCGACGAGATTTGCGGGAAGACGCCGATCCGATTTGAACATTTGTCCAAGCTTTCTTATATCTCTGCTGTGGGTTGCCTCGTCTGCTCTGGGACTCACCAAGACTGACCCTTGCAGGTCCTCCGCGAGACTCTCCGTCTCACGCCACCCCTCCCGGTCTTCAACGTGGCCGCCAAAGAGGACGAGATCGTGGGCGGCAAGTATCCTGTTCGCGCCGGGGAGTTGATCATCGTCCTCGTGGGACGCTCCCAGCTCGACCCAATGGTCTTCGGCGCCGACGTGCACGAGTTCAAGCCCGAGCGCATGCTCGATGAGAATTTCGACCGTCTCAACAAAGAGTTCCCCAACGCCTGGAAGCCATTTGGTAACGGCACACGAGGCTGCATCGGCCGCCCGTTTGCCTGGCAGGAGGCCCTGCTGGTGCTGGCCATGCTGCTGCAGAACTTCGACTTTGAATTCGACGACCCGGACTATACTCTCGCGCTCAAGCAGACCCTCACCGTCAAACCGGCCAATTTCCAGATCCGCGCGACTCTTCGTGACGGACTGACTGCCACGACGTTGGAGCATCGACTGGCGGGCACAACACCTCCGCCGAAATCGGACGCAGCGGGTGCATTGAATGGCGTGGCCTCGACCAGCACCGAAGGACAGCCCATGAGCATCTATTACGGATCGAATAGTGGAACGTGTCAGTCCATGGCGGAGCGGCTAGCTGCGGACGCCTTTTCGCATGGGTTCCGCGCGCGTGTCGTGGATTGTCTCGACAATGCTGTCGACGGACTGCCGGCCGACGAGCCGGTGATCTTCATCACTGCCTCGTATGAAGGCCAGCCACCCGACAACGCAGCTCACTTTGTCCACTGGCTTGAAGAGCTGAAAGAAGAGAAAGCCACACTGCAGGGCATCTCATACGCGGTCTTCGGATGTGGCCACCACGACTGGGCGGCGACCTTCCACCGCATCCCGCGCCTCGTCGACGCAGCCCTAACCCGCCACGGAGGGGAGCGCCTCGCCGCGCTGGGCCTCACTGACGTGGCGGCCGGCAACGAGATGGCCGACTTCGAGGCCTGGGAAGACGAGGTGCTCTGGCCCGCCCTGACCAAACGATACAGTGCTGCTGTTCCCCAAGGCCCCGCGCTGAGCGTGC